TTCGTTTCAAACGATTCTAATCGTGAAAAATAAAAGCAATACTCCGTCATGTTGCCATACCAACTTAACAATGTGGTGGTATCCGCGGTAAGATTTTTGGGATATGACGCCAAAAGTATACGTCCTCGAATTTACAGTACTACTAACCAACTCTACGACACGAACTAAAAGGTCTTCACAGTTTCCTCGACACTCATAACAATCTAACAGTGAGATATCATCCCGCATTTCGATTTTAATGTCTACCTATGGAAGTGATCGAGAGGTGGTTAGTCAAAGGGTTTTCGTTTACATAGATAAGTGATAGGGTAAAAACAACAATCATGAGTTTACCGTCCTATTACAAAGCTTATTTCTAAGCTTCCACGATCCTAATTTATTCGACTCAAGCGAAGTAGTTCATTGATCCTAGGAGGATTTGATTATTGCTTTTCGGATTTCTACAACTCCCAGGATACGACAACTTACATTCGCAAGCCTATTCTCACCCATTTAATAAGTACAACTACAAAAGCAAAAATCTGGGAATAGCATTGATTGAAAAATCTCAATGCTAGAAAAACCTTGCTTAAGATCTACTTTCAAAAAGACTTCGTCGACAGTCGATCTTCCTACTAAAGATCCAACATGAACACAAGTATGCTTGAAGATATTAGTGCTAATAGGGACCGAACAATAATTATCCCTCAGATGATCTTCCGCGAAATATTACTAAGAAATCAAGACTAACTAAGATTTCCAATCTTTAAAGAATGAATACTAACGGCGGTAGGACAATGATAGAATTATTTGGTAATATCTCTGGCGATACACGATTATCAAAACATTTACTTAGGCCATCAACTTGCCTCACTTTTATACCTTTCCTCCACAAGGAAAATCTTCGTTTTAATTCTAAGGAAAAGCTTCAGGCCATGGGTCTCCCATACGATCAGGTGTTAAGAATTTCAATGAAGTTAGTGAAAGATACCGATCTGATGGGTATTTGGACCACCTTGGATGACTCACAGAAGCCAGATTTCATTAAAGTGTTTATGGAGAGCCTTTGAGATTTTAGTATTTGTGGTTTTAGTATGGGGAACTTTATCAACTTCTAAGTGTTTTCATTATTACTTTAGCAAGACATTATTTGTTTTTTAAGTCAGGACGAATGTTTGATTTCAGATATTTCATGTTTAAGTTATGCATATTTCATTTTCTTTGTTTAAGTTCTAAATGTTTAAACCCTAAAATGTTTACGATATGCATGATCATTAAACTTATATATTTTTCAACATTTGTCATGTGCTTTTATGTGGTTTGCCTTGTTCCTGCAATGGGGAATATTTAGAGGGGTGTCCTTCTAAACAAGGTCAATTCTAATGTTTGTAGAACCTAAACTCCCTGAACAACAACCCACAATTGAAAGGACCAAAATTAGGGACTAAAAATTGAATTGGGGTGTGGGTTTTGCAATTTGCACAATAAAATTTGATGGGTTTGTGGTGAAAATTCGAATGGAGGTGTAGAAAACGGGAAAAATTACAAATTTTAAAAGGGTTTGCATGTGAAACACAACATATACCTATTAAAATTTGGACCAAGAAAAACAAATAATGGATAATAGTGTTCAAATTTGAACAACTTATTTAAAAAAAAAAAAAAAAGAAGAGTTATGTCCCGTTCCGCCCATAAAATTGTACCAAACAACAGCGGAACATGGGTATTTTAGTCATTTTAATCTTTTGGTTCCGTTCCGTCCATGTACTACCAAACGCAAGACGGAACAACCGTCTTGTTTCGTCCTGCGCGTACCAAACATAACACAGAACATCTGTTCCGTCCCGTCCAGTCCCGTTCCGTCCCGTCCCGTCCCGTCCCGTCTGCGTACCAAATGCTACCTCAACGTTTCATAATCTTGATTTTTTTCATGACGACTTGCACGTTCAAAAGTAAGGGGTCCAGAAAACCTTAAAGAAGTTAAAAAAAAAAAAAAGGTTATGCCCTCCCATATCATATAATGAAACAAACAGAAGAATGAATTCAACAGTAGGGTTTAGAGAATTTAATTGAGGATGATTACACCTATAACCTTGATACACAAACAGTCTAAGAACTAAGTTAACACCTGCAATCTCAGGAGGTCCTAGTTTACTTTTAAATTCTACCTAGCATGCATACCACATTACACTTCATGTGCGGCCTAAAATAGTAAAAAATATCAAAAATTGTGAAAACAAACACTAATTTTTTAGAGATTCAACTGATACAAATTAGAAACACCTCAATTCGCTTGCCTTCATTATTCACTTTATATCTCAATAATAATTACTAAACAGTTTTTAATATTAAACGTTCCGCAATCAAAAGGATTAAACACTTCAATCATTACTAATAGTCATTTCAACCAAATTCATGATTGCAAGATCCTTACTATAGTATGTCTTGACAACAGATTCAATGATCATATTATTCTCGACCTGAAATGACACTAATTTCACAAAATCAAACTGCATGCTGTTTATAAAATGACATCAACCACATATATGCCATCTTTTCTCATTGCAGTATCTATCATATCATGTTTTCCACAATCATTGGTAAAAAATATAAAGCCTAGTGAAGCCAATAAGTAGGGACTGTCACGGCAAAGATGAATTTTCTAAGAAAAATGAAAGGGATATGTCATAAACATGACTTAACGCTTTAGAAGTCAAAGAAATTAGATTAATTGATGGAAAAGAGACCAAGCTTTTAGCTTGAGGACAGTGGTGACATTATCTATTTCACAATAGGTCTTTCCAGTTTTGTCCCAATCATGTATATAAAATCATCTAAATATACAAGACTTTCAGTTTACATGCATCCCAAATTTTGGTTCCAACATCACAATAATTTTGGAATTCAGGTTCCAACATCCTAGAAATAAATAAACGGTAAAAAAAAGGAAAAAAAAAAAAGCAGAGAGAGAGTGAGGAATAATGCATACCAAGGAAGAGAAAAAGCTGGAACGGATCAAGGTGGTTGGGAATTGAAATGAATTGGTATCTGGGTCTGTTATTTTTGCTTGAAGTTTTAGTAATTTGTGTGCACCATTCATTTGTATTTATAGTAATCACCTGCACAAATCTCAATCACCTTACAATCCATCACTATTCACATATAGTTCATACAAAATGACACATTGTGACCTCTCTTTGACCAGCAACAGTTTTCCAAAGTGAAATCAACTATTACCATTGTTAATTATCAATCCGTTTGGCCAATTCATTGAATACACTACACCAAAAATTTCACAATTCATTGAATTTACATATAATTGGGAGATGTACAAAAAGAAAGGCATCGGCAGAAATTAACACCATAATAATTCGACTATGAAAAATCTAGAGACCATGTTAACAAAATTTAATCATATTAAGAGACATACACTTTCGGTTCCAAAACAAATTTTCCTAAGCAAATTAAATGCAGAAGAAACGGGATAAAAGAATTATCCCGAAAGTACAGGAAATGGTTCTATTTTTATAGGAAGCAAATCGCAGATAAACAAATTTAAATTAAAACATGGCAATTGAAAACCCCAACAAGGAAAACCAAATGGCTTTTCGAATTCGATTTTTTTTTTTTTTTTTTTTTGGAGTTTGACCGTTGTGATTTATAGTTTTTGAAGAGTGAATTGGAAAAATTTCTACTAGGTTGGTCTTTTTCAGCAGGAAAGTGAGAGAGAGAAGTCGAGATCAGAGAGCAAGAGAAGGCAAGCTTTGGCAACATAAGGGTTTATGGGAGAGATCGAAATGGATGGAAGGCTTCTTCAGTAGAGAAGGAAAGCATGTGAAAGAGTGAGAGATGAGAGAAGACTGGAAAGTGAAGGAGAGTCAGAGGAAAAGTCGAGAAGGAGTCGAAACAGAGCCCTTCGACGATGATCGGAAAAATGGGGAATGACAAAGAGAAGCTGAAGCGATGATCAACACGTGGAGAGCATTCGGGCGGAAAAAAAAAATCAAACAACATCGCTACATGAAAACTCTTCGCTGAAAATCATTAAAAAGGAATAAGTGTAATATTGTTAGGGTAATGCTTAAAAAATCAAAGTTTTAAATTAAATTTTATAAATTAAAAACTGTAGATGTTAATAATCAGATTATTTTCAGTATTGATTAACATGCTTATTTAAAAAAAATAAAAATAAAAATATTTTTAAAACTTTAAATTTTAACAAAAAATATCATCCTATAACTTTATTTAATAATAAAAACATAAAAAACCTAACTACGCGTGCAATTGCACAACGTTTTTTCCCAGATTTTGTTTGGTTTGGTGTGCTGGTTCTTTTTCCCAGCTTATGTATTTGCTTCCATGGAGTTTTCTTATCCATTTAAAATGTAAGTAAAACTAATGAAAAGAATTTGAAAACTTTGAGTTTTAACGATAAGGACAATGTAAAGGATAAAGTGAATAGTACAAGGATTGACTTTTTAGTGTAAAAATGTGATTTTTTGTTACAATGAACAGTAGTATAAGCTTTTCGTTGAGACTTCCTAAAATGTCTGCCACACCTTTTTAAAAAAAATATTTATGTGGAGTGATTGATGGCAGGAGAAAGGGGATTCATAAAAAAAACACTTGTCGAGAAGGGGTTTTTTTGGAAGAAAACAAAATAGCATTCTTAGAGGTACCGTTTGGTACGTAGATGGGACGGGACGGAAGAAAATGGGACAAGACGGGACGGAATAGGGGTTTCGTGTTATGTTTGGTACACACAAGATGGAACAGGACAGTTGTTCCGTTTTGCGTTTGGTACGCGTTGGACAGAACGGAATCAAAAGATTAAATGACTAATTTACCCATGTTCTGTCTATTGTTTGGTACAATGTTTATGCATGGGACGGGACGAGACATTTTTTTTTTTTTTTTTGAACTTGTTCATATTTGAACACATAACAATACCATGATTAGTTTTTGGAGATTGCAAAAGAAGCAAAACAAAAAACAATGGCAAAGAATTTAGAGAGAGAAAGTGAATGACTAAATATTGTATTCCTTGAACAATGAATGAATTACAAAGAGAGAGAGGTTTTTGTTATTTATACAAGTATTCTTTGCTTCACTCATAAGCTACTAACCAACTAACTTATATCCCTACAATCCCAACAGACCTAATGTGTTGCAACAACATACATGGAGACCTATAAAATGAAAAGCAAAAAGCATTGGTAAGTAATAATAAAACAAAAAAACTACACAAATCACAATCAGAAAGTCTGCTTCTATTTCTCTTTCAAACCAGTTCTCGAAAGCTCTTTCATATTGCCTAAAGAACAATGGTAATATGGTCTGTTGATTCACATAGCCTTCAAAAAAGAAGCCATCGTACTCTTGATTGGGAGATATAGCAGCAAAAAAGGAATCTCGGAAATACACAGGTGCCTATTGAGCGCGAGCATTGTATAATGATTGAAGCCAATCATTTCTCCGCCATTCCATGATGCACCATTCATTCGACATCAATCACTTCAACATCCATACTAAACCCACTGTGTAATGCTAAAGAATACAATTCCTATCTTTCAAGCCAATAAAATAGCAGTGCACCATGTGTTATCTACTGATACAACAGCTCTTAAATTGTTGAGTTGTTAACACGATTAGAAATCTTCTGCAGGAATTCCAGTACCATGTCAGCCTAATAGTCATTCCCAGAAACAGTCAGATAGTTAAAGCCTCTCAAAAGTCACATGCAACTTTCACTATATTCTCAATGAATGCAACAAATTTTTCAAACACAAACAAAAACAATAAGACTATTACCTGCAATTGTACATTGTAGCCGTCAATGGTTCAAATAACTAGTTAAGGCAAATAAATGTATAGTCTACGAGTTCAAGTCATATAATCTCACTAAACATGCAACTTTCACAAGATTTCTCAATTCATTCAGGCAATTTTTCAAACACAAAGCAAACAAACAGAGGGGGAGGCTTAGGATTATACCTGCAGCGGACCCATCAGGCGGGTGAGATGGAGTAGCCATAAGCATCGGCTTCAGAGCCACAACCGAAGGCACAGAGACTGGGCTTCCACTGGCATTGTAAGTGTGCATCATGCTCAACAAACTCTTCGAAGCCTACAAAAAACAGAAACAAACCTAAATCATCAAGAAATCCTTCAGACTGATTTCGAACAAATTATCGGGAAAAACCAAGTGGGTACCTCTCGAATCGGCAATTTGGCGATAAGGACAAAGCTTCGGTTCTGAAAAGAAAGTGGGTTACCAAGTAGTTGTTGTCGCAAAGGTATTGGTCGACGATAAAGGCGATTTGAACGGGGGTGACCTTTCCCTTCCCCAACTTCTCAGATTTCTTGCCTTTGGATGGCTTCCCCATTTTCTGAATATTGAGAGATACCGTGGAAAACTAGGGCTCGAATGGAAGCAAGGAGGAAGAACAAGGAGAGGGAGAGGTTGAGATCTGAGGAAAGGACAATGGGAAATGGGCATTTTTGTCTTAAAATGTTATAATTTTGTGTTCTACGAACGTGGAACAAGTCGTTGGGATGAGGTGGAATGAAAATTTAGCCAAAATTCATTCCATGGAACAGCGCGTTCCATTGATTTTGGCGCACCAAACGTGAAATGGAACGCCTTGTTCCATTGTGTTCCATCATGTCCCACGTACCAAACGGTACAAAGAGAACTTGTGGAGTTCATTAACATAATATTAGAAACTCCTAAAAAAACTTTGAGTTGTGAACCATATGAATTTTCAATTACCTCCGGTTCTAATTGGTTCTTTGTTTAATTAGAAAATATAAAAAATTGAAAGAGTTCAATATAAAACACTGAACCAAGAAATAGACACTATGTATGAAATTGGACCAAGAAAGAGACATTATTTATGAAACTGTATCAACTACTATACACTATTTATGAAACTGAACAAAAAATTGGACACTATATATGAAACATGACCAAGAACTAGGCATTATATATGAAAGCGGATCAAGAACTAGGCACTATTTATGAAACTAGATAAAAAAATAAGACACTATTTATGAAACTGTACCAATTACTATACACTATTTATGAAACAGAACCCAATAACTACGCACTATTTACAAAAGTGAACCAAAAACTAGGCACTAGTTATGAATATGGACAATAAATAGTGTAATATCGTTTAGTTTCATAAATAGTATAGTACTGCAGTTTCATAAATAGTATAATACCGTTAAATTTCATAAACAATGTAGTACTGTTTCATAAATAGTGTTTGTGATGGACGCGCGCATCCAGGCTCGTCAGGTGTTTTTTTTTAAATATTAAAATTGTGTTATTTTCATTAAAATTTAAGTTCTTTTATCATCTTTATTAAAAGTTAAAGGTCTTTTATTAAAATTTATCTTTTGTTTTCATTAAATAAAGTTATAGCATGATTTTTTTATTAAATTAAATTTAACTCAAACCTCTTTTTATGAAAACTCTCTTTTTTTTATGAAAACTCTCTTACTGATATACTTTTTTAGTTTACTAATTTAGTTTAAAATTTTGATCTCTTATTGTTATTCTTGAAGTTATAGAAAACGATATTTGGGGGAGGTAAGATATTTTTTTTGTCCTCCTGTGGATAGCGAATTCTTTAATCAAAAGATTAGAGAATTCAATGTTCGATATATGGGATGTCGACACAAGCAAGCTAGATTATTTATATTTAATTTGTTGTTTGTTTGTGTCGAATGGACCCCTTGAATTGACAAGGGAGACCAAGACTTTTAGTTTTGCGTTCGTATTTGAGATGAAAGAAAATAGTTTCTGCACAACAACCTTTTTCACATTTTCTAGGAAAAAAAACGGTGGTCATACATGTAAAGATTTAAGAGTTATGTAAAAAGAAGTGCATAAATCACTTCTGTGTTAAAGATTCACCAGCCAATTATTGTTCCGCTAGGAATTGAGATAGAACTTTCTTCAGTCAAACGCGGTTCTCTCCAACTGCTTTTCTCTCTTGTATTTATTTCCTTCCCTTGGCTCTTCTTCAACTGCAGTGGGTTAGACATAAGATAATTTGAAGAACGAAAAAAAGAGAGCAAAAGGATGTTGGAAACTTTCTCTTATTCTTTTGTAAATTCTTTCATTTTCTCCGTAATGCATTCGTTTTCTAATGTTTTCTCGTCTTGAAAAGTAGCTTTTTGCGTTGTGAAAATGAAGAGAATAACTAGGTCACGGTTTGATCCGAATACTCGTGAAGAGGACAACAATCTGCAGGAAGATCAACTACAGAATGGTGCAACTTCAAGCTCCGTTGAGCCTCCAAATTCACCAGCAAAGCCTCCATCTGAGCAATCTCTGACGCCGAAAATTGCGAGTATTCTTGGCAACAATGTGTACGAGGTGCCTATAAAGGTAGCATACTGTCGCTTAACAGTACTACTCATAACCATATATGTGATTGTACATATTTAGTCTGGCTATATATAGAACAAACGTTCAAAATATGTATAGATAACAATACTTTTGGTTGTGTATACCTTCCTAAATTAGTCATTTTATTAATGGATTAATTATACTAATTTCTTCTGCTAGCTAGGCTACTCCAGAATCAGCGGAGTGGATATTTTTAGTCGTTGCCCTCGGCCTAGAGATGTTATCAGCTGCTTTCGACCAGGCTTCGTCCCCAAGTAAACCCCACTACGCGCTACTGAGCATGCTGTGTGCTGTTGCAGCTTTTCTTACTACCATCTGGGAGCTCACTTACAAGGCTATAAAAGAAAGAGTCGTATTAAGGAGGTCGGGATTGCTAATGCTGCCCTACTTTTATTATCCGCCTCCTCGGAACACAGTTTTCGGTGATCTCTATGACATTTATGGATTAGTTGGCGGGATCTCTCAGTGCGCTTGCTGTGCAGTTCAGTACGTTTACTTTCTCCGGCACACTGATAATCCAATCAAATCATCCCTCTTGCCAGCCATCTTCCTTATGTGTTTGGGTGGTTCGAGACTAAATAGGAACCGGAGGTTCAGTAGTAATGTTGATAGCAACAATATTTTGTTGACGAGGGAGCTGACCGCCAACCGACCCTTGCTCGATGATTCTTGTACTTCTGCTTGGAGTCTCAGTGTCCAAACCGAACGAGAACCATCGAGCAGCTTACAATTATTTTTCGGTAAAAACCCCTCACCCACAGTTTTCACTGCAAGCAAGATTGCGGATGAAGAGAAAAATCCACTTCAAATCCTAGTTGTGGATGACCAAATGGTTCCAATAACAAATCTATCTTATCCAATCAAAGTGGAAATTGTTGTTCTTGATGGTGACTTTCTAACTGGAGAGGATGACAACTGGACAGAAGAAGAATTTGAGAACAACATCTTGAGACAGCTTGCTGGCCGAAGGCGACACTTGCTTGCCGGAGAAGTAAGGCTCACGGTGAGAGATGGGTCTGCTACAATTGGGGATGTTGAGTTCACGGAGAGTTCGAGCTGGATTAGGAGCAAAAAATTTAGGCTGGGTGCACGAGTGATACCAAGCCCAGGCTACCTGGGTTTAAGAATCCGTGCAGCGGTCACGGAAGCTTTCGTTGTTAAAGATCATCGTGGCAAGCATAATCTTCCTCGCTACTTATCCCATACGAGAAACAATTCTGTATAAGATGCAAGGCAACATTTTGCAACTTTGTACTACAATTCATTCAATTTTCAACCGAAAGCAAGCAACATTTTCAATTAGCTCTTCTTTTTTCTTTTTCTTTTAAATCAAGAAAATAATCTACAATATTACTGTATTTACGGATTTCCTAAAGAACGTTAAAATCCCATGCCGAAACTTCACAAAATAAATTACTACATGTATAATGATTAATTTCACTACTATTACCATTGAAAAAATATTATCATTGTTGATTAGTCCTGATAAACTCTTTTTTTGGGGTATGCAAGTGTTCTAATCTTTGAACAAAACTTCTCAAACGACGAAAAGTCAGCAGGCATCGGATCCTCGAGATTTTTCAATGTAACCGGTACACGAGATGGTACACAATGTGTCACTAAACAAATGGTAGGACATATGTGCTAAAAAGTTAATAACTTAAAAGATAAAATTTCCCACCATTTATATTAAAACACGTGGTGTATTACTTGTGTTTCTGTCACAACTAAAATTTTTTCCTCTTTCTCAAGCATTGCAGTAAAAATTCCGAGAAGCCCACCTCAATTACGTAATTGAGTTAGTACCACATAAACACCTTTGGACGTGATAATTAGTGTGCATGTTATGAATATATTATATTACGAATGATTATGCCTAATCACCTATTCCTAACACTACCCATCTTCTTCTTCATCTTCAACTTGTTGATTATCGTCCCCTCTCCTATACGGGATGACAATTTCCGATACGCAGAGTGCCGCAGCTACTACGACTAATGTAGGCACCCTTTTGATAAAGGGGGGCTGACATTACCCTTTCAGTTGTTTACGTCTATCACTTTCCTCTTGCATTCACTGGAAATTTCCTAGGCAGAAACGTACAAAAGTCCAGTCAATGTACAAGATAAGCCGTCGTCGCATCCATCTCTCACGGACCCACTTCTCCCTTCCGATGGTCAAACAGATTATATCATAATAATATTCCACCCCTTTGAATTTCAACTGTTGTATAATTTCATCACACTAGCTGTCCAATCCCTCCTTTCAGACATTTCCAATTTCAAAACATAACAATTTCGTCTTCTGAAATATCAAACTATATTAATCTCCATGTCCCATTGAGCTTCAACAAGTTACTATGCCTACGCCTACCCACTTTCTCCTAAAACTACCCGTCTCCTTCCCCATCATCTTCCACAATTTGGTCACGGTAATATTACTTTCCACCCTCGCTCTCGGCGAGGATGATCACCGATACACCAAGTGCCGCGGCTCCTACGACTGCGGCCTCCTCAGAAACATCTCCTACTCCTTCTGGGCTGCCAACGGGCGCCCCCAACACTGCAGCCTCGAAGACTACGAGCTCACCTGCCGAGAAGATCAATTCCCTGTCATGAAAATTAAAGACCAAGATTTTCTTGTTTTGAACTTTAGTCGACAGTTTTACACCATGACAATCGCTCGCTCAGATCTCCGGGACATACCCTGCACTGACCACATCGTCAACACCACTTTGGACTACGACCGGTTTTCCTACGTCCCAGCTGTTCGAAACCTGACGCTTCTTTACGGCTGCCAGCCAGGGAACATGCATGTCCGTACTCAATAGCTTCACTTGCAAGGTAAAGGGTACGGACAAGGCGATATTTCGTACTATGTCGACGACTCTTTGAGGATTCGTATGGGAAATTGGACCTCGTGTTTTTTGAATTTTCGAGTTCCGATTATGTGGAAGGGTGTGGATGTTATGCCTGGCACGTCGGATAAGCTCAAACAGGTTTTGAAACAGTGGTTCCAGGTGGGGTACGAGGCGGAGTGGGAGCTCTGTCGGCGATGTGTATTATCCAATGGAACCTGTGGGTCGAACTCGAATTCTAATTCGTTTGTCTGTTATTGCGGCGACGGACCTGGTGATGTAATATGTTCGCGTTCTGGTGGTACGTATATCAAAATTGGCTCTTTGTTCTGTAGGTAAATGGTAAATACTAAAAACCCATGCATGTATTTC